TTACAAATTTATTAATTTTTTTTTTTTTTATTTTTTTTTTTTTTTTTTTTTTTAATACAATATAAATTTTGATCAAGCCGAAAGGTTAAATTTATAAATTTTTATATTCCAAACCATTTTTTTTTTATTTTAAATTAATCTTTATATTTTTTTTTTTTTCTTAAATTTTGATTTTTTTTTTCTTTTTTCATTTTAATTATAAATTTAGATAATTTTTAAATTTTTTTTTTAAATTTTTGTTTTTTGTTTTAATTATGAGGAATTTTGTCGTGCTCATTTTTTGTTAAAAATTTTATTTTTTCTTTTATAATTTTTATAATTTCTTACGATTTTTTTTTTATTTTGGATAATTTTTATTCAATATTTTGTGGGGGAAATAAGGATTTTTGAAATTAAAATAAAAGTAAAGTTTGTTAATATGCCAGTAATTAGAATGAAAGTAAAATATTAATTAATAAAAATATAAAAAATAAAATTAAATTAAAAAAAAAAATTATTTTAAAATTTTTATAAAGTTTATTTCATTTACGATTGATTACGTATGCTTATATTTTAAAATTGTGAATTTCAACGTAAAAAATTCTATTGTGAATAAAATTTTAAAAGTACTATTCTGTATTATTGCTTAGGTTGAAAAATAAATTTTAAGTTTTTTTTTTTTTACAATATAAAATGCATGTATGTGTATAAGTATTTAAAAATTTTCATTGTTAAGGCTAAGGGAAAAATTGTTGGTAAAGAAGGTAAAAAAAAAATTTATAATTAATTTTTTTGTATTGTTGTTATATAGGATTAGAAAATGATTAAGAAAGAGAAATGCTAAATTTTTTTTTTGATTTTTCTTTTTATATTTTTAGGTTTTAAATTTACATTAAAAAAAATTTTTTTTTTTTTATTAATCTAATATTATTTTTTTTAATAATAATATTATTTATTTATTTTTTTATTATTAAATTATATTATAGTCTTAATATAAGCAATTTAATTATTATTTGAATCGATTGTAAGAATTGAAAGAATAATGATTTCATTAAAAGTATGTAACAAAGAAAGGTGGTTATGTTTGATTATTCAATTGATAACAATTGAGTGATTTGACAATAGAAGACACGAGTGAATGAAGTTGTCATGTTGAATGTTTATCTTCAAAAAAGGACTCATTTTAAGAGACAGCTTGTCTTTAAAAGGTGTTATTTAGGGTTAGGTCACACTTTTGAATTATTTTTGCTTTGAAAGAAGATTAATTTACTCGAAATTTCAACTGTAGTAAAACTGTAGTTGACACCTTTATTCACTTGTGTCTTCAATAATTAAGTAAAAGAATATTTATACTGGCATTCCCAGTATACTTATATTGGCAAAGGTTTTATGGTGTAAAATCTAGTAAAACTGGTGTCAAAAACTGCTCGAAAAGTAATTTTAATTCAAAAGTTTATACTGATTATGGTAATCAATCAATTTGACTAAATATAATGTGATATTGAATATTTAGTTCTAAAACTTAGCATATTTTTTTATTCTGATGAGCCAATAGGGCTGGTGCATTATATATTGTGGATAACTACCATGAACTAGTTTTAAAGTTATATAAAACGTGAAGATGATTTTATTCGAAAAATCAGCATCCACTTTTTGTTGTTCCATAATCCGAACATATCGAAATTCAACGAACTTCTCTTCGTTGTAAGTCAGCTGTCACGCTGTATTTTTTTTTTGGTTGGAAACCCTTTACCGCACAAATGGCGTAAAATTAAAATCTGGCGTAAATTTTGGGACATCTTTTATTTATTATTGATATTTTATTGTTCGAAAGATGGAAATTAGTTGATATTAATTTTTCATTTTATATGTAATCAGGCTTTGAGCCTGAGACCCTTCAGTTAAACGATCAGTGTATTAACTACTTGAACCATTGGTCAGTTTAAAAAAAGTTAGCAATTAGAAATTTTGAAAGCTTCATGTACAGTAAACTTTAAGAAGTAAATTTTATGAAAAAACAACAATATTTCACTAATTTATTACATGCGGTAAATACTATGCCAGACTGTACATTGTTATGTCATCATACAAACATATTAAAATTTAAAAGAAAATTTCACTTAATCCAGCAAAAATTCTTAAATCTGCTTGAAAAAAAATTAATTTCAATCGATTCTAAATAATTAAGACTTGCTTTTATTTAGGACATAGTTGGTTTTTTTTTTCGGTTTCATATAATTTCTACATATAAACAATTATCATGGAAAGACGGATTTTTTCTAAGGTTTTAATATTTTTTCAATTAATATCCTTATATAAATTGTAATATTAAAAACATTTTTTATTTAATATTAATATCATTTTTGTTTTTTTGTTTAGCCAATTAATTTATGAGTATTTTACAATAATACTAAGTCATTACTATTATTTACTAGATATATTATATTTTTTTTTGTTATTAATTATTAATATTAATATTAGAATGGTAAAAAAGAAATGAAGGCGAAAAAAGAGTGGTAGAAAGCAAAAATGTTTGGCTGAAAATTAATTTAAATTTGAAAAATTAAATATTAAATTTTTTTTCATTTTAAATTCTTTCAGTTAATTAATTAATTTTTTTTTATTTATTAATTAATCAACTATAATTTTTATAATTTAATAGTGGACTAGGTATTTTTTTTTCTTTTTTTTTTTTTTTGTTTTTTTTAAGCTTATAAAAAAAAATTTTATAAATTTTATTTTTTGTTAATTATTTATAATTTTTTTAATATTTAATTTCCCTCTTATTATTTTGAATTTATTCTTCAATAATAATTTTATAAATATAAATTAATATTTTTATTTTATAAATTTATATTTATTTTGCATTTTTAATGTTGATATTTTGATTATTTATTTTTGATATTTTGGGAATATTGTTTTTGAATTTTGTATTTTTATTTTATGTAAAAAAAACATTTTATATCATTTACTAATTTAATAATAAAAAGAAGTATTGGTTATATTTTAGAATGGAAATGAAAATATAAAAAATCATATAAAGATCAAAAATAGTAGTTTGGCGTATAGAAGATTTTTATTTTGAAAATATTGCAAGTAAATCTTAAATTTAGATATATGCGTTTAAAACACAACGAACCCTATAGCGTAGTTCATTTCTATAGTTTATTTTGATTTTATTAAATCGGCCATACAAGGCCGATTTATTGTAAAAAATTCTAAATAGTTTTAAAGACTAAAAGTGGGTACTAACTGAGGCTAACATACGAGTAATAAATTTCACACTATACATTTTAGTAAAATCTGATTTTTATGTTTGGACTCAGTTGTTCTAGAAACTAATAAGAAAATTATTCATGAAATATTTATCAATTTCTTATTGGATAGTAAAACTAATTGTTTGTGAATATTTTAATAAAATTTTTTTTTTAAAAATTATAAGAGACGTAAATAAGAAATTGCACAAAGTAACACTGTACCTAAACAATATTAAAGTTTTCGAATTAAATAATTAATATACGAAATTATTTTTCGACATTATTTTAAAACAATATACTAAAGACGTAAGTTATTATTTATATCTTAGTACATAGAAAATTAAATAATCAAAAAATTTAATTAATTATGAAATTAATAAATAATTATATTTTATGAGTATCAACTTATATTCCATTCCATAAAAAAATATAATAATCAAAATTTTTATTTCTATATATAATATTATGTATAGCTATAGTATTGAGCGAAATTTTTCATTATTTATTTTAGTACATACATATACGTTAAAATATATGTATGTGTACCATAATATTGTTATACAATATTGAAATTATAAAAAAATAAAATTAAGTATTTTAATATTTTAAATATTTTTTTAATTATTTTATTCATGATTAACGTATACTAATTAAAATTTTATTGAAATTTTCTTTTATTGCTAATTTGAATATTTTTGGAAAAAATTCTATTATACACTTTTATTATTATTATTATTATTTAATATTATATAATATATTATTGATCATCTATTGTTATTTTAATTATTATTGTATATTATATAAAGTTGGAGAAAGAGGTATAATACAAAAAAATATTCAAATATATTAAAATAAAAATTAAAAAAATATTTAATGAAAAATTAAGATTTCAAAATATTATTAAATTTTAATATTAAATTGTTTATTTTTTTATTTATTTTTGTTTAAATACTATGATATAAATTTAAATTTTATAGTTTTTTTTTCTTTCCAGTTTTTATTTCTATAATTCCTTTCTTTTTAAAAAATAATCCGCATCGTCTATATTTATGTAATATAGATGATATACGAGTATATATATATATATATATATATATTTTATTTATTTTCAAATATTAAGTATAATTAATTTTTATTATTTCTTTATATAGATATTGTAATTTATGTACTTTAATTTTCTTTCAGTATATTTTTATATAAATATACATTATATAATATTAATTACATAAATATTGTATATGTATAATAATTATTATTGTTATATAATGTAAATATGCAATTAGTTTTCTTCATTTTTCAATTAGTTTGTCTGTATAATAATATATTTAGTGAAAATTTCTTTTTTTTTAATTCTATTTTTCTTTTTTTTGTATCAAGCAAATTTTGTATAACAATATTCAGAGTTTTGTTTTTTTTTTTTGTATTGTCAGAAAAAGAAACGGAAACAAAGAGAAAACAAAACTAAGAAAAATAAGAAAGTATTTTTTTAATTTTAATAAATAATTTTAATTTTAAAATAATAAAAAAGTATTTAAAATAAAAATTGAAATTTCTGTACTATTATTTTTTTTAAAATTATTTTTAATTTTGGTTCATTAATTAAATACTTATATAATATTCTTATTTAGTATTTAATTAATTTATAATTATATTTTTCTTTTATAAATATTTAAATTTCTGGTACCAATAATATATATTAATAAATATTATATATAATATATATATATGCACATGTATGTAATATATTGAAAATTTTCGGGCAGACACACAAAATTAATTTTAAATTTTTAATTTGTTTGTTATACAAAATTATAATTTTAAATAAAAACAAAAATAATAAGGTATAAAGTATAACATTTAAATTTTTTTTTTATTGTTTTTGTGTTTTTTGTTTGTTTGTATAATAAAAATATACTCATGATTAATATTGAAACTAACTTAAATTACAAATTAAAAAATTTCTTAATTTTCATTCGTACAAAATAAAAAATTGTAATTTTTTTTATTATTAATTTTTTTTTTGTTTTATTTTAATCAAAAATATTCACTCATTCAAAAGTACACATGCACCCAAAATATCTCACTCATAATACAATTTTATCACTCAATGTTTTTTTTTTTTAAATTTAATTTTTTACCATTTGTTTTATTGTTATGAAGAAGTTTTGTTTTACATTTTGTAATTGTTTTTTTTTTTTTTCAATTTTTCGTTTTTTTCAATTTTAGGAAAATTAATTGTAATAAATTTTTTTTTGTATTTTTTTTTTTTGTTTTGATATTTTACAATACATACTTACAAAATACATGTACAATTATCATTTTAACAAAAAAAACTCATTCGAATTCTCGCTCATATTATGGTTTGTAAATACAAGAAAAAAAAATTTTTGTTTAAATAAAAAAATAATTAAAATTAAAATATCAATAAAATTTTCTTTATGTAAAAAAATTTTTGAGCAAATTCTGTGATTTTATAGAGAGTGTTTACTTTTGCTGAATTTGATGACATTGTCAAATTCATAAATGAAAATGTTGCTGTTGTATACTATTTTTTTTAACACCGTCAAAGTTAAAAAATTGAAAATATGCTGTGATGGCAATGCTACAGATACTCATTTGTTATAATTAATTTAGAAAATGAATAACACAAACGCAAATAATATTTAACGTACTTATTATGTAAGTCACTACATTAGAACACGAATTAAAGGTATAAGATAGAAGGTTCGATATGAAATTAATAATGAACTGTGTTGCATCGTTGTTACAAAAAATATTCTCAAAATTTCAATAAATCGTCAAGAGCATAATCTCATATAAGAACAACTCTCTTATAACAACAACTCTCTTATATGAATTTAATCAGACAGATTGTTGGTACACTGTCCCAAAAATTTTAATTTAATAAATCAACAGAATTTGACATTTATTTAATTACATTTACAATTAAAATATGATTGAATTTTAATTTTTCGGCAAAAAAAAAAAGTTAATATTAAATTATTACAAAGAGAAAATTTTAATAATAATAAATTATTTTTATGATTACTCGTATTATATAAAAAAAATTAAAAAAAAAAAAAAAACTTTTTTACACAGTCAATACATGAACATTTCTAGAATAAAAATTTGGATTTAAAATATTACTAGGACCACTACCAAAATGATTTGTAGCAGCATTATATGGCGGTATATTAATATTTGATGTTGCTGTTGGATTTATAATACCACCGCCAACACCACCGACACCGCCACCACCAATTCCACCACCTATAACTGAATCACCATTACAAATACCATTACCATTACAACCACTAAAACCATTTTCAATACAACTACTATTACATATATTTGTATTATGATTATCTAAAGAACTATTACAGCCATCATCTTCAATTAGAGCTGTTTTGTCACTAGGAACACGTTGACTGCGTAATGCACAAATATACATAGCTAGGACGAATGTTAGCAATAATATGCCAGCAACAACACCAAATAATAATGGTTTTTGTATATCAGATAATGTTGCTATTGTTATTATATTTAAATCAGATTGATTTAATGGTATTAATTTATCAATTTGTACATCAGATTGTGTATTATCATCAGTAATATCAATTGCTTTACCATGATGCCAATCAAATATATAATTTGTATGTTTATGATTAATATATTGTATTGGTTGTTGTTTTTGTTCATGTTGCTCATCTTGTATCTGTTGATGCTGTTGCTGTTGTTGTCGATTTTTATTAGATGATATTTCATTCAAATGTTGATCATCAATATTTTCAATATTATCTTCATCATTATCTTCAAATGATGATAATGGATGATCCATAAATGTTGGTATTGGTGCTGATATTGGTGCTGATGCTGATGATGATGATGTTGCAAATGGTAAATTAGCCATTAATGATGATTGAGTTGTTGTTATTAATATATTTGATGTTTGTGATTGTTGTTTTGATGTCGATTGTATAATTGGTTTACGAGTTGTACGTATAGGAAGATGAGTTGTTATTGCTTCTGATGTATCAATATTTAATGGAAGTGAACGACTCATTGAACCAGTATTCTATATAATTTTGAAAAAAATAAAAAAAAATTAAGGTATTAATTTAAAACCTTAAAAATTTAAACATTTTATTTCTTTAGAATGCAAAAATGTATTTTTAATGAATATTTTTACCTTATTTTTGCAGGTAACTTGTACACGATATTTTGTATCTGGCCATAATGATAATTGTACACTATAAGTTTCAGTTAGTAAATTTCCCATTAGTCCACCACCAGATACTTCCCATGTAACCAAACATTGATTTGGTGTATTCAATTGTGGATCCCATGCAACATCAACTAAAACTAATGAATCTTGTTGTAACATTGAAACTGTACGTAATGACCATGTTTCTTGAATTGTTTTTGCTAATTTTGATGGTGGGGGTTTACCACATTCTTCCCAGCACTGAAATTAAAAAAAAATTATTATGATATTAGATCTTAAATTGCAAAGTAATTAAAATTTTAAGAAATATTTCCTGAAATTTAATTTTTTTTTTTATTTTATACAATATTGTTGTGAGTCTACACTACACATTGCTTAAATAGTTTTAATAGAATGAAATCACCCCCTATTATAGGCAATTATTGTAATACATGCTGTTAAATTGTGCTGTGTGTTAAATTCCTTTAGTAAAATTATAAAATAAGAACATCAGAAATTTTAGAATATTAAAATTTCAAATATTTTCACTTGATTTAAAATTGTTATTTATGTATTATGTAAATATTTTTTAATATTGTATTGAATGCAAAATTCATATATACACAACTTGTTGTGTAGGTTCACTGTTAACATGCATATTTCCTTATATTAAATTAAAATATTATAAAATTCTATATTTTAAAATATAAACATAAAATAATAAATAAATACCTAAAGATTGAACTAAGCATAATTTCTAATATAAAGTAAACATGAAAAGCCGTTTTAATAATCAAAATATTAAACAAATTTACATACAATATCAAAATTTATATGTATGTGCTTAAAATTTCTTATAAGCATTATAATAAACAAGAAAACAAGTAGAACATAATATAGCTATCAGCTAATTAATTAATTAATGTAAATATAAATAAGGTTCTGGGTACATTATAAATGAGGTAAGGAAATACTTACAATACGCATACATACATTAATGCATAAAATATAAGAATTATTCGGAAACCTTTTGCCAACTTTAAATATATGCGTATCCATAAGCATTTCCTATATATATATATATATGAAATCTTAATTTTTACTCCGACATTTTCATATTGAAAATTTCTTTTAAAATTTTACATGTTTACATATAAATCAATTAAATCCATAAATAAATTGCTAAAAAAATAACAAGAAAAGAATATTGTTGCATTTATATTCTAAATTTTCCCCTATATATTTATTAATTCGCAGAACATATTGCAGTCATTTTATATTCCATTAATTAATAAACAACATCCTTTTAAATAATATTTCATAATATAATATTTATTTTTGTTATAAATTTTAAAAAAAATTCTATTATTATATTAATGAAAACTATATTATGTAAACTTGTATAGAACAATCTAAATAATATATAGGTAATAGATATATAATGTATAATATATACAGAATGTTCTACCAAAATTATAATTTTAGAAAATTTTATAACATTCTGCAGAATACAATGTAAACTTTTAAAAAATCTTGCAAATTTTGAGAAACAAATTAAATTTAGAACCGTGAGCAATTCGAAAATCGCCTAATAATAGTTCTTTGAATTTCTCAATAGACAATTTTGACCATAAGATCAAGTACAAATTTTCAATACAATTAATTAATTGAGAAATAAACTAATCCGAAAACTGTTATACTCGTATAATTATATACAATTTTTATTTAACTGCAACAAATATTTTTAATATCATAATTTCCCTTATAAAACTTTTTTAATCTTTCAGAATATTTTGCAAAAATTTGCAAGCTTAATTGATTCTACAATAAAGCATTTTACTAGTACCACAAAATTAAAACAGTTGCAAACCGAAAACTGGAATTAAGAATTCCATATTTTATCAAAAGGCCAAAATTTGTCAAAATCTAGCAAAAGAATATGGAAAAATTTCGAAAACAAGACTTATGTTCAAAGATTTTGCAAACAAAAAATTGCCAATAGAGAACCAACATAAAATAGGAAATATAATTACGTGAAACACCCTGTTTGTTATACATAATATTGTTGAGTACGTATACGCACTTTTATATTTAAAATATTCAATAAGTTCCATTCTATGAGTGTACTTCTTTATATTATCGAACATAAAAAGAATTTAAAATAAGTAAGTATAAGAAAAATTCCTGTCCGGTATAATTTTCAATGCACATTATTGCACCATAATAACATTTCCCCCTCCTCTCTTTTTTATTTTACTTGGTGTTCATTTATGTATAATGTCGCTAAGCATATACAAGTATGCTTATTAAAAAAGGATGTTTGAAAATACTTTTTCAATATCCTTTTTTAACGCTTTTGTTTTTATAAAAGAACGCAACAAAATTGAAAAAAATTTTCTAAAGAAAAGAGAAAACAACAACAAGAGTCTTACTTTTGTTTACCTATATTGTTAAAAAAAATATATGTATTTATATATAAACAGGAGGTACACATAAAGTATGCCTTTATTAGCCTACTAGATTACCTTTATTCTCAAAAGTGAAATATAAGACCCTCACTTTATGTCCTTAATATTTTTTCTTCTGATTTTTCCGATTCTGGTTCAGTTTTCAAATTAAATACTTATAATAATGTTTGTGTTGTATACTATAAACGACACGCAGAACTTCTTATACTATACTTGTATATACGAGTGCGGATTCTCCCTGCGTTTTATATAAAATTTTCATGTGAACACGCACATTTCAAAGTATAAAATTTTCCGCCTAGAGAATTTTTTTTTTGTTCTTTACATACATGCATACATATTTTGTTTTCTCTAATAATAATAATAAAATGAGAATACGTATTTGTGTATACTGGTGCGGTGGTGCACTGCGGCGCACATATAACGTAAAAACGGTGTGTATGTGAACACATAAAGGCTAATTTACACTTTTATAATGAAGCAAAAAGTACCTACTTGAACAATAGAATTCGGTATTATTGATTTATTAAGAGAAAATAATATTATTAAGAAGTACGTGCCGCAAAATTTTTAAGAGTTTGATGAGTATGCTATAAAAGTAGATAACGTACAATATAATTCGTGACATATAGTAAAAAAGTTATAAAATAATATTACGAGTAAAGTATTCTTGGTTATTTGTATGATTTAAAATCGATATTAAATTCATAAATCTTTTAATAAAAATGACAAAATTTTAAATTGAATTTACTGAATTTTTTAAGGTTATTAGCATTTTTTCAGTAATACAGATTGATTGTAACCGAGAGGTTGATCAGCCTTTTCTGAATACGTAACTAAATCATGATTATTAATTGTGAGTATGCAAGAGATATTTTGATCATACGTAATTATTTAGTCATTTTAAGGCTAATACAAACATCTACGTCTTTCGAATATTTTTATAAATCCATCTACTATTGCCGATCAACGAGGTTTCATATACTTTGAGTTTTCATCGAATATTATGAGTACTAGATTCACTCCAATAGAATGAAAATATTAGGTTTAGTATAAACACATTTTTTTTTGTTCTAATATCCATCATAATGACGATGAGGGAAAATAATCGATGATCCACGAGTTGTATAGGTTGCCGATTCATGATTTTTTGTAACAACATTCCTTTTGTTCCTTTCATAATTTCGTTTTAATTTTTATATAGTAAGAATGGTATCTTATGAATAATTAAATTCTTTAGAATTCTTAGATTAATCAATAAAATTAAGGAATTCGATTTCTACTAGACCGTCTTCTGGAAAACTCACCACAAAATATCTCTGTAAAACACAATTATCGATAAAATATCCCGTTGATAATTAAACATACCTATATAATTTAAAATTGAAATAATAAAATATTCTATATTTATACACACTATTGAAGTTCGTTGTGCTCTACGAGCTAGACCAATATTATACGTTTATGACACAATGAAAATATTAATAAATACAAAATGAGCTTTATTATTTTCATTTCCTATATAAAATATCAATATTTACTCTAATATTAATATGCACCTACATTTGAGTATATTTATATATATGTATATGTATGTATATATGTATAATTTACAAATAACTATGGTATAGGTAGATTAAATATGCGTATATATTTATTTAACGCGAAATAAACACGGAATAATTTTATAATGGTAAGTGCGTTTTTTAACCTTTTGGAAAAGATTTCTTATATACATACCATACACATTATACTTTCTTATATACTACACGTATACGCACATTTTATATTAGTCTTAACTAATTTACATTAAAAGATATTACAAATGAACAGGATATTACAGACATTATACAAAGTATAAAATGTTTATTATAAAATGTTTGTATAACGGAAGGGTTTCTATTATAAATTTGCCTTACCATTTGTAATGCTAAGAAATAATGGTCTGAGGTGTACGTGAAACATAAGTGTATGTCTTTGATCAGCATTGAATTCTGGGTCGATTTAACCACGCATTTCCGTCTGTTCATCCATCCCAAATATAACTCAAAAATTAATTGATCTAAGCTCACCAAATTTTCACAAATCATTTTATGTAGTAAATGCCGAAACGCTGTTTAAATTAGATGTTGTCCAGTGATTCGGTCGAACTGGTTGAAATTTTTTTATTCGTGGTGATAGCTGCCATTCAACTTGGAAAGTCATGGCCGTAAATTATAGTGCTTTTACAGTGCTGAAATTCAGTAAAAATCTCTGAGATGATATGAGTTTACGTGGTAATTGCCAATATGAATAAAATATAGCAGTTTACATAAAAAAAATCATGGTCGTGTAAAATATTGTGGCAATTATAATACAACTCTTAAAGTCATTCATTCGTACGGGTGTCACAAAGTTGACATGGGCAACTCTACCTATTCTCGTTTTAATTCATATTATTATTAAGTTGATATATTTCGTATTTATCAGCGCGTAAGGTAAACAAAGTAAATATTTGTTATATAAATATACTTGTATTATGTATATACATTATATACATATATATTATATTTGAAGGAATAATAAAATTAATTATTAATATTTTTTTGTAATTTAAGTTTTCTTTTTAATGGTGTAACTATTTACAATATAATTTCTTGTTTGAATTTGTACATTGTATATATATGAAATAATATTAACTTAGCATTTATACAATAATAATTCTCTTTTATATAATTATATAAATAGAATAATAAATAGCTTATATAAGAATTTTTAATAAGTTGTATATATAGACTGACATTTGATTTTTTA